TCTGGTCGTTGCCGTGGCGGTGCAGACGGATGCCGCTCCCGTCGAGGATTCGCGTGACCGACCTCGCGGCAACGATGCTGGCTCGGGCTCCGCGGGCGCTGCACCTGGACCACTGGCTGGACCGCCTGTCCTTGGTGGGGCGGCGCCTCCTCGCGACAACGTCGGCTTCAAGTTCCTGATCGGGAGCGCTGCCGACTACAGCGGGGGCCCTTTCTCGACCGCTCGGGACGACGGCGTCGCCGATGGCATGCCCGCGCCGTGCACGCCCTGGCCGAGGGCGCAGACTCCGACCCGCGACCTGTCCCCCGAGAAGGAGGTGCAGGGGCTGACGCCTGCCAGCGGATCATCCTGGCGGGCAGTGGACGTGCCTGGTGCTGCGGCGAGCTTGGCCCAAGGTATGGCAGCCATCGCCGCGCGATGCCCGCCACCGTCCACCAGCCCCGACGAAGCGAGGCGCCTCGAGTCCCTCCGCCGCCAGTGGACACGCACTCTGGACGATCTCCTCGAGGAGCGCAGGGCGGCCCTCGTCGACGGCTGCGACCTGGACCGTTTTGACGAGCTCGAGGACGACATCCAGGAGGCGCAGCGGGTCTTGGGAGAGATCGACGACGGCGTCTCCTCCCAGCAGATCCTGCTGTACAGCTTATGACGCACTCCGCCATCGTGTTTTCGGTCCGTCGGATGTGCTCGAGCTCAACAAGTCGGGCCTCGTCGCCTGAGTCCGTCCGCGCTGCCGCCTTCGTCGCGCGCCTTCGGCCCCGCCTGCATAACTCCTCTTTCTCCTCCTCCTCCTCCTCCTCCTCCTCCGCCTCCGCCTCCGCCTCCGCCTCCTCCTCCTCCTCCTCCTCCTCCTCCTCTCCTCCTCCTCTCCTCCCCCTTTCCCTCCTCCGCCTCCCTCCTCCTCCTCCTCCTCCTCATCTTCTCCTCCTCTCCTATCCTCCTCCTCCTCCTCCTCCTCCTCCTTCTCCGCCTCCTCCTCTTCCTCCTCCTCCTCCTCTCCTCCTCCTTCCCGTCCTCCTGCTCCTCCTCCTCTTCTCCTCCTCCCCCCCTTCCTCCTCCTCCTCCTCCTCCTTTTTCCGCCTCCTCCTCTTCATCGTCCTCCTCCTCCTCCCCCTCCTCCTCCCTCCCTCCTCCTCCTCCTCCCCTCCTCCTCAACCCTCCTCCTCCTCCTCTCCTCCTCCACCTCCTCCTCCTCTCCTCCTCCTCTCCTCCTCCTCCTCCTCCTTCCTCCTCATCCTCATCGTCCTCATCGTCCTCTCTCCTCCTCATCCTCATCCTCATCCTCATCCTCATCCTCATCCTCATCCTCATCCCATCCCATCCTCCTCCTCCTCCTCCTCCTCCTCCTCCTCCTCTCCTCCTCCTCCCTCCTCCTCCTCCTCCTCTCTCCTCCTCATCCTCATCATCATCATCATCATCATCATCATCATCATCATCATCATCATCATCATCATCATCATCATCATCATCATCATCATCATCCCCCTCCTGCCCTCCCATAGAGGCCTCGTGGATGGGGTCCGAGTAGGTGCGGTCGGAGGATCGCGCCGCATCGCCGATGCACCGGCGATGCACCAGCGATGCATCGTCGATGTTGGCGATTCGTGGGCGACGTCGACGTGGAGGAGAACGGGCTTCACATCGAGCAGCATCGCCGATGCATCGGCGATGTGGCGCGATCCTCCGACATCATCAACTCGGAACCCATGTAGGAGGCCTAGGTCCACGCCCTTACCTCTCCCAGGGCGCGTTCTGAGCAGGATTTCGAGGCGAATCAAGCGGTGGCGACGAGGGCCTCCCCAGGAGGCCGAAAAAAGGGAAAACGGCCGAATGGTAGCGGCATGGGTAGCTTTTCCTCGGGGAACGAAGAATGACATAAACATAAAAACTAGAAGGTCCGCGCGGATTTCTTGGATCCGCACTGGACCCCCCCCCTTTCCCCCCTCCCTGGCGCGCGGAGCGCGCAAGGGGCGGCGCCGGAGGCGCCGCCAAGGGGGTCCAGCGCCGATCCGAGAAAGCCGCGCGGGCCTCAGAGTTTTCATGCTTCTGCCAATCTTCGTTCCCCGATGTCCCTCTCTGACTTACGGTCTGGACTCCAGGGGCGCGATCCCCGGGGGAGCTCGGTCGCACGGGCGCGTTCCGCGCGGGGCAGCCGCGAGACGGCGCCCCGTATAGGATGTACGCTCTTGCCGCCCACGGGCGGCAGGCTCGTGCCGTGACGAGAGTCCAGGTGTTGGGGCACCATGTGAGACCTGCTCCTGGCAGGAGGAGGAGGAGGAAAGGGAGGAGGAGGAGGAGGACAGGGAGGAGGAGGAGGAGGAGGAGGAAAGGAAGGGAGGGAGGAGGAGGAGGAGGAGAGGAGGACAGGAGGAGGAGGAGGAGGAGGAGAAGGAAAGGGAGGAGGAGGAGGAGGAGGAAGAAAAGGAGGAGGAGGAGGAGGAGGAAAAGGAGGAGGAGGAGGAGGAGAAGAAGGAAGAGGAGGAGAGGGGATCGACTGGGA